AATTGCCGAATTCGACAAGTTTTACTAATTTATCTTAAACAAATAACCTACTTGAACAGATGACAAAAATCAACTGTTAAGAACTGAAAATTTGCCAGTAAGTTCCTGGCTAGTGTAATCCCAATGGAACATGATATCAGCTTTTATGCACGATTGAGCCTCACGTGCGGATGCTTGAAAATTTTGGCGGAAAAATTGCAAATTCAGAAACCAAGTAAGCCAGGAAGCTGGAATTTCGGGATTTTGGTAGCTGTTTCAGGAAAATAAATGAATAACATTATTGCTAGTTGTTTGATCGTCCACTAGGCGGTGCGGTAATGAACAAAGCAACCACGGAAATAGAAAGGTTGCCCACTGCATAGATAAGGAACCGTAGTATAACTAAAATTTATTGCTAGTTATTGTAAATAGGAAAGAAATCCTTCGAGCTTAATGCCATTCAAGAGAGGGATCAATAAGCTTTATTTAATACACATAACTGAAATATCGTTAAACAAGAGCATAAACAAAAGAAACAAAGAGGATAGAAAACCGGAAACGATGCTCCGAAACTTCAATTTCCTAGTCCTCGTATCCTTAGTGGCCAAAAGAGAATTATCGCGATATCGAAATCAACAGACAAACCTAAACTTCATAGTGATGTTGAAGGGCATTTTTTAGGATCTGTACAAAAAAGCATGAGGAAGTTGAAATGATCTGGCACAAGTTATCTCTTAAGTCAGCAGTGATAAAAAAAAGATGACTGCCCATAGTAAAAGTAAAAAAAAAGGTCATAAAAAAGGCAAAAATGCTAGAAATTACTCTAAGGAGGTTTAAGGGTTACCATAAATTAAACATTCTTATGATGATGCTTTTCAGCCATACGGTACATCATTCTTAAGCAATGAGGGCAGTTATGTGAGGTAGATCTCACCATAAATTCCTACTTATTTGGTTGGGTCCTGGAAACTACTATTTAGGTGCACTGGACAAAATACAGTTACTGGGTAAAATGTTGCATTTAGTAAATTAAAATTTTCAAAATATTCAGTTCGTGATTTGTTCCTTCCTGAGATAAAAAACTAACTCAAGATCTGACTTGAGCCAACGGTCATTCACGCTAGAAGGCCGTATTTACAAAATTTAGCTTCCTAGCCTTCGTAATTCTTAAGCCAGACAGTCAAATACACAAGACTTGATGATGATGAATTCTTAACGAAAAGAAGATCTGATATGATTCAATGCCTCATCTAGCAATCAGGTAACCCCGCTTACACACCTGTCCTGCTTTAACGTGCTACTGCAAAAACATGTGAAAATGCTTATCACTTAACACCAATTACCAGTTTGTGGGGTCCACTTTGCAACCTAGAATCGGCACCAATATCTTGGCTAGAATTTGTTGGCTGCTCACAACACTGTTCATTAATTCGATCAGTGACCGGGGCGGTCATGCACAGAACTATGGGCAGTAGCAGAAGAGCATGAAATACACCAATAACGATGACCAGGAAGATTGTTTTGAAAAACACAAGCACCATGTATGAATTGATAAATGCCAAGATTGTAACACCAAATACTGTCGACATGCTCCCGTAGATCACTGAAACTATATTACAACAGTGCCGATATGATTTTAATTTCATAAGAAAATGCTACGAAAATACAAAAAACCAGTGAGTATAATTAGTGTTTTAATATTTTGAATTTTGTGTAATATTTTATATTTTTATATTTAATATCTAAAATTCTTTATATTTCAAAAACTTTATATTTTAAATAATTTTAACTAATCGCACCGACGAAGTCCAGTTATGGTTCTGAATAGAAATGTATGCAAGTAAATATTTCTGTTTCGCAGATTAATTTTCGTACTTTATATACATGTTATCATTTCGAATCTTACAGATGTTGCATCGTAATCTAAGAATAATAAGGTTCAGGACGAGGTGCTGATGCCCTCAACACACGTTATGAATATCTCGAAACGGCTAGAGCCTTGTTAAGTGCTTCTGTCAAAAGTATCGCTAAAATGGTAGTCCCTCAGCCTACGAAATGAAACTTATGTCAGAATCGCCAACAAGCTGACCACCAGTCGAAGCAGCACCGGTCAAAGAAACTGGAAAAGTTATCAACCACTTAGCTGAAGAACTAGACCACGAAATACAGTAGATCCAAATATTCAAGTATGACAGTGAAAAGTTTCTTAGTTTGAAAAAACGACACAAGGTCCTTTCCGGTACCGCAGGTATGTATAATGTGCAGGTACACTACAGACGCTCAAACTCAAGCAACTTCTGGTGCAGATAACTTTACATAAAAGGGAACTGGTTTGCATGCAGTATCTGCACATATTTGTATTCTGAATTTTTTGCGTGATCTTCGAACACAAGTTGCATTTAGGAATTTGTTAGATTTAGCTCCCAGCTAACTTTTATAAATTAAAACGGAAAAACTG